ATAATTAATAATAATATGTATTATTGTTGTTAATAATAATACATATTATTAATTATAATAATAATTCTAATTCTTATTATTCATAGTAGCAGCAGCAGGTCGCCGTGCACCGTCGCCGTGCACCGTCGCAGTACAAATACAAAGATGTTAATTATTAAAACTGGGACCAGAATCTTAGGATGAAGGCCGAGCACTGATCTGTAGTTTCGTTAATCAGCAGTGTATTAATTACCAGTTATTGATACCAGACATTGGGGCTTTTATTAAATCAAAGTGCATTACATTAACCTGCCATGATACACAATGCGCAGGCGTCACTCACAACTTCAACATATAAATAAAACTGGGTGAAGATGTTTCTGCAGGTATGTACAGGTGTGTGCGTGCGTGTGTGCGTGTGTAAGTTCTGTCCCGAGGCCTTCACGGACCCACAGAAGGAGCAGGTGTCATTTTCTAAGATGTTACTGTGAAATACAAAACCAAAGCTGGTCTGAGAGCAGTGCTTCTGTACAAAACTGTCTTTACACTTAAATTATTCACAGCAGGATATTTTCTATTGATACAACTCACGGTTCTATTTACAGGTTAGGTACCGTGCTCTGGTTCGGGCCATGAAACGTCGCCCCTCCGGACAGGAGTCCTCCACCATCGTGCAAAAAACAAACAACCCACAGGACCCGCAGGACGCCCGGGACGCGTCGGGTCCGACAGGCCGTAACATCGCCTCCATCTCCCGCAGAAACCGAGAGGACAGTCAGGAGCTGTCGGTCTCCGATGTGTGCACGAGCAGCGCGGAGCCCGGCTTGTGTTTCTTCAGCAGCTGTGTGATCTTCTCGTCGTCCGAGTTCGGGTCCAGGGGTTTGTTGTAGTCGTCGTCCTCGTCCTCGTTGTCCGAGGTCCCCTTCAGCCGCTCCGTCTCCGAGTCCTGCTTCTTCTTGGCCGACGCCATCTCCGCCGCGTGCTTCTTCCTCCACTTGGTCCTCCGGTTCTGGAACCAGACCTGAGCGACACACACACACAAGAGCCCCGTCACTTTTTCATGGTTAGTACTCGGACAGAGTACTAACGAGTAAATATCCATCTATTCATTTCTATTCATTTCTATTCATTTCTATTTATTTATATGTTACATGCTTCAGAAACAAAGGCCGGACCTTCTGCTCCATAACAGACACGAACCATTAACTGACCCGTGGCCTAAATAATTCTAATAAAGACAAGAAAAGGCTCCAACTTAATTTCTAAAGCGACTTTCAGATGGAAAAGACGCAGCGCAGGCGGCGCACAAATTAAAGAAGAACACAGAGAAAAAGAACTAAAAGAAATGAAAATGAGGACACAAACAAACAAATGAACACATCGACAGGAAGAGTAAAAGAAGCTCATACATAAATGACAAAGGCCTCGTGGAAGCGTGTGCAGTGCGTGGCATTTTAATTCTGAACGTTCATACAGGATAAACACAGGGTTGGGGTGTCTGAGCCCCTTGGATGGAAATAAGATGATTCATTAACGGTGAATTAATTAGCAATAAACACAAGGACACACAGATAGAAACCACCGGACACCGACGCCGCGCTCCGTTCATCTAGTTTGTTTCTGTGTTGCGTTACCTTGACCTGGCTCTCCGTCATGCCCAGAGAGTAGGCCAGGCGCGCTCTCTCCGGCCCCGCCAGGTATTTGGTCTGTTCAAAAGTCTTTTCCAGCGCAAAGATTTGTTGTCCAGAAAACGTGGGTCGTGTGTGTTTTCGTTTCCCATCTTTGTCCAGTAACACGGAGTTCTGATCTGCAACAGTGAGACACACACAGTCCATGAACACAACGCACAACCACCGGAAACAACTGAATTATTATAGTAGTGCACTAAGCCCGTGTCGGCACCGTGAATAGTATTCATTTTAATAATATTAACAATAATATTAATGTGGTGTTGTGT